AATGTACCTATTCATAAGCTGAATTCCAATTTCGTAACATGTAATGAAATAAACAATGCAATCTATTTCATAAATTTGAATTCAATACTGTTTGGTGAGTTGGCTTGAGTTTGGAATAATTGTGTGTGTGTGGGTGGGGGTGGGGGGGGTAAAGGAGAGGAGGGAGGGTTGGGAGAGGGAGGGAGGGGGATGGTGGGGAAGGGTGGAGAAGGGATGTGGGAGGGTGGGCGAGAGGGAGGAAGGGGGATGGTGGGAAGGGAGGGAGGGAGAGGGATGGTGGAAGGAGGGTGAGAGGTGGGAAGGAGGGAGGGAGAGGGGATGGTGGAAAGAGGGAGGGGTGGAGGGAGGGAAGGAGGTAGGGTGGGGGGGGAGTGTATTTGAAGGTGGATAGATATGTTAGTTTAAAGACATACCGTGATTGCAATAGGTTTGCACACACACACACACATATTTTACACACACACATATTTTGTGTGTGTGTGTGTGTGTTGTGTGCATGTTGTATAAACATACCTAAAAACCTACACAAACTTAGAGAGAAGGAAGAGACCAGAGAGACAGATAGACAGAGAGACAGAGAGACAGAGAGATAGACAAAGAGAGAGACAGAAAAGAAAAGAGAAAGAGAAAGAGAAAGAGAAAGAGAAAGAAAGAGACACAGAAAGAGACACAGAAAGAGACACAGACAGAGACACAGACAGAAGACAGACAGAGAGAAAAAGCTCTTCTTTCTCTCTCTCTCTCACCACTTAAAAAAAAAAAAAAAAAAAATCCCGACCCGAGCAACTCGCCTCGCTCGCACCATCGCGCGGAGGAACGAGCACGTACGCCCTTCTATAAATACTTTTTGCACGACGACAAAACGAGGTGATTTCCAGGCTCTTTTTTTTCGGGTTCGGGTCCTCGAGGTCGGGTCTCCATGGTCGGGTCGTCGGGTCCTGTTCGGGTCGTTGGGCCTGTTCGGGTCGTCGGGCCGTTCGGGTCGTCGGGTCTTGTTCGGGTCGTCGGGTTTTCGTTGGTCGTTTTTTCGGGTTCGGGTCTGGGGTAGTCGGTTCGGGTTCTTGAAGTCGGGTTTGTTCGGGTGTTCGGGTTCACATGGTCGGGTCTTCGGGTTCTCATGGTCTGTTTTTCGGGTTCGGGTTCTTGAAGTCGGGTCTTGATCGGGTGTTCGGGTTTTCGTGGTCGGTTTTTCGGTCTCGGGTCGGGGGTTTCGGGGTCCTCGTGGTCGTTTTTTCGGGTTCGAGCTATTGAAGTCGGGTCTTTACGGTCGGGTCGTCGGATTTCGGGTTCAGGTCTTCGTATTTCTGGTATAATGTGTCGTACTAGGTATACCAT